TCTCACTATGTACTTCAGGCTGGTATTGAATTCACTATGTAGCCCAGGCTGGCCTTGAACTTGCAGTGATCCTCCTGCTCAGCCGTCTGAATGCTGGCATGCACCACCACAGCTGGCTGCTACTTGTCTTTTGAAGTCCAAGAATTTTGGTTGCAAAGTCAGAGATGATTGTTAATTTCCCACCCTGTTCCTCACCCACTGCAGGTAAAAGGTCCTGATGCCCAGAGCTTCCCATTCTGAGATCCCAGTCTGCTGTAGCCCTCCCAAGCCCTAGATGCTCTGTCCTAACCATACAAAAGTAGGCAGCTTTACCTTGGGCTCTGTCTTCTTCTCTGAATTATCCACACTTTTTAAAAAAATTATGTTTATTAGTTCGTATTTGCATATATACTGATTACATTCACTGTGGGGAGCTGGGACTGATACACGACACATCTTAATTTTTTTTATGTCTCCTTCCCCACCCTCCCTTCTACCTCCCGCCATCTCTCAGTCCCTTTCCTTTTGCAAAAGGTCTCTCTACCTGTTTCCTATTATCTTCTATTTTGCTCTTTAATCTATTTATTCTTTGGGCTTGCCACATAAAAGAAGCCATGCAGTATTTAAGCTTGTATTTCTGATTTATTTCACCAAACATTATGTCTCAAGATACATCCATTTTCTTACAGATGACTCAAGTTTATCCTCCTTCATGACTGAGTAGTACTTCATTTAAATAAATACCATATTGTCTTTAGCCGTGTATCATCTCTTGATAGACATATAGGCTGCTTTCAGGATTTAGCTATTATGAATAGCTGCTGTGCTGCTATAAATGTGAATATAGCATGGGTCATATGCAGTATGATGTCTTTAACTCTTTTGCGAAGTTATCTAGAAAGGAAAGAGCTGGGTTGAATGGAATTTTTATTTTTAATTTTTTGAGGAATCTCCTTATTTATTTCCATAGTGGTTGTATTAGGTCACATTCCCACAACAGTGTAGACGGCTCCCTTTTTCCCTGTACCCTCACCAGCACTTGTTGTTACTGCTTTTCTGATGACACCCATGCTTTCTGGAGTAAGATGGAATCTCAGTGCCACACGTGGCGGCTACTTCTCTGTGCCTGGGGTTACCTTGGAGACAGCCTGGGCCCAGGAACAGAAAAGTCTGGAGCCGGGGCTCTGGGAGCAGCTCCTTGGAAGCTCCTGCCATGTAGTTTCCTCTCCACCCTGCTTTGCATCACACCTGAGTCTGGCCGTCCTCAGTGTGTGGCCACCAACCCCAGTCTTTTTCTCTGGCCACCGTCTAGCTCTTGTTTTGCCTGCCTGTGACCTCACAGAGCCCTCCAGCCCCAACATCTTCACTTTCTCCATCTCACACACATCGCTCCCTCTGATCCTGCCTGGACTCCATGGCCACAACTGCTGTGGTTGTTCCACCCCAGTTTCTAGATTCAGAATGTGCCAAGCTCCCATAGACGATGCAGGCCAGGGCAGCCTGGTTCTGCTTCAGGCAGTTTCCTGCCCAGGTCATCCCTCCATCATCGCTTGGAGAAACTCTCACAATTCCCAGAGCCCCCGGATGGGGCCACTGTGCCAGCGTCCTTTATTCATGAGAGGGTGGTGGGGCCGCACGTGTGGAAGGGGGAGCCGCATTCTCTGCTTCTCAAATCCCAGCAGAAGGAAGCACCTCGTTCAGTGCGTGCCCCTCCTCTGTGCTGTGGCTGCTGCTCCTGCCTGTCTCCCGAGATCCCATGTCCGGCTCTTATCCTCCCCCATCGCAGATCTG